CGAAGAGCCAGCGCTGTCCGAAGACGTTCCCGTGGTCATGTGGCCGGCATGACTAAACACCGAGGCGCACGGAACGCTGTTCCCTTCCCACCGAAGCGGTACCTATTTATCTACTTGCAATTTCTTGCTTTCGAACTGCTAGGTTGGCAGGAGCTGGAACTAGAGACGGGAGCTCACTCTAGATGCCCTCAACAGCAGGGGGAAACGCCGCAGGCACAGGTCAGGGGAAATCTGGATTCCCCCAATCGCACAGCAGCCATCCAGGCTTCACTGCAATCTTTCCCAAAACTTTGGAGCAAACAAGGTTTGAGGAACATAGGGGGAAAGCCAGGGAAGTTCCTGGAGGTGTGGGGAGGGGGCCGAGCTTCCTGACATCCTTGAACCCAGGGCCCTTACCCCACGTGGAAATGGCCAGAATGGGAGCGGTTCTCTACCAAGGGTGTCCATGTGTGGCAACAGATATCTTCCATTCCGTTGCGAATTTATGCCATTCTCTTTATCTCTCTGCAAGGGGAACTTATGCCCCCACCCCACCCACCCCCCATGCAAGCTGAGAATTCAGAGGAACTGTTGGGGCGGTTTATCCATCAGACAGTGTTCCAGCGCTGTTTTTTTTTTGTTCATAAACTCTAAAAAGGTAAAGGGTAAAGGTTTCCCTTGCTCGAAAGCCAGTCCAGTCCGACTCTAGGGCTGCGGTGCTCATCTCCATTTCAAAGCCGAAGAGCCAGCTGTCCGAAGACGTTTCCGTGGTCATTTGGCCGGCATGACTAAACACCGAGGCGCACGGAACGCTGTTCCCTTCCCACCGAAGCGGTACCTATTTATCTACTTGCAATTTCTTGCTTTCGAACTGCTAAGTTGGCAGGAGCTGGAACTAGAGACGGGAGCTCACTCTAGATGCCCTCAACAGCAGGGGGAAACGCCGCAGGCACAGGTCAGGGGAAATCTGGATTCCCCCAATCGCACAGCAGCCATCCAGGCTTCACTGCAATCTTTCCCAAAACTTTGGAGCAAACAAGGTTTGAGGAACATAGGGGGAAAGCCAGGGAAGTTCCTGGAGGTGTGGGGAGGGGGCCGCGCTTCCTGACATCCTTGAACCCAGGGCCCTTACCCCACGTGGAAATGGCCAGAATGGGAGCGGTTCTCTACCAAGGGTGTCCATGTGTGGCAACAGATATCTTCCTTTCCCCATGAGAATCGTTTTGTTAAACAGGCTGAGACTTCCAGCATCTCCTATGGGCAACGCAAAGGGGTGTCCGTTTTTGTCTTGCCCTTGTTTAAGGGAAACACCATTGTGAGATGCCCTTCCCAGAATACTTTCTGAGGTCAGTAAGGAAATTAAACGTTCAGGAAGTGTACCTAGCACATTTTTGTCCTGCCAGGAGCTCCGAGTGGCAGGCGCAGTTTTTCCTTCCTCGTTTCCTTAAAGCCGGCTGTTCAAAGTACCCTCATCCAGCTAAGCTCGTTTTGCATTCACCTGCTTCCTCGTCCACTCTATTTCAGTTCTGAGGGAGTTCCCCTCTCCAGAGGAAAGTTCAAGTAAGACTGAAGTGGTTAGTTGTATTGAACAGAATAGGTTACATAGACTCACTGCATGTGTGTGCCGAGTGAAAGAAGAAGAAAATTACCTTTTATTGGCATACAGCGTGTGCCGAGTGCTGTTGAGTTGCTTCTGACTTTTGGCAACTCTCTGAGTTAATGACCTCCAAGATGTCTTCTTGTCAACCGCTTCCTTGACGGAGTCCATCCATCTCACGCTGGCGCTTCCTCTTTTCCTGCTGCCTTCAACTTCCCCTGGCATTGTCTTTTCCAGTATGTCCCATCGTCTCATGATGTGACCAAAGTACAATAGCCTCGGTCCTGCCATTTGAGCTTCTGAGGGAGAGTTCAGGATTGATTTGATCTAGAACACACTGATTTGTCTTTTTCGCAGTCCACAGTATCTTTAACACTATCTTTCAGCGTTACATTTCAAATGAATCGACTTTCTTCCTGTCTGCTTTCTTTACTCCGCGACTTTCACACCCTTGCTTAGTAATGGGGAATACTATAGTGTGAATTATATTGATCTTAGTTGCCAGCGACATATCTTTACACTTCCCAGATGCCCTTCCCAGTCTCAATCTCCTTATGATACATTGGTTGCAGTCTCCCTTTTGGTTGATGATGGAGCCAAGGAATAGAAGATCTTGAACCATTTCAGTTTCTTCATTGTCTAATTTCTCAGTGGCTATTACCTTTATCTTCTTGACTAGGAATAAGGCCCATTGTGGAAATAAATACAACAAGCTCTAGAAGGAGGCTCTGGGAGAGTGCCCCAGCCTTGGGCACTCAGCGTCAATTTGCTGTGGCGACCTCAGCAAGGTATAATGACACAGAGTCCACCATTTTCTCCAGAGGAACTGATCTCTGCTACCTGAAGAGGAGTTGTAATTTGGAGTGATCTCTACCCCTCACCTGTAGATTGGCAACAATGGTTTCCCGGGAGGAAATGGCTGGTTTGGAGGGTGGAGTCTATGGCATTGTACCTGTCTGAGGTCCCACCCCTCCTCAAACCCCACCCTCTCCAGGCTCCACCCCTCGAGTTTCCAGAAATTTACCAACCTGGAGTTGGCAACTCTATCTCCTTCCCTGCCAAGCATCAACCTGCTGTTATCTGCCCCTCACTCTTCGTCTCCCCTACACACACCTGTAGCCTCTACCATGCTCTGAAGCCCTGACTGCTATGTCACATTGGCTGTCATAGGAGGGCCAACTCAGCAGGATATAAGGACACAGAGTCCACCATTTTCTCCAGGGGAACTGATGTCTGCCATCTGGAGAGTAGTTGTAATTCTGAGTGATCTCCAGCCCTCACCTGGAGACTGGCAAGAATGGTTCCCCAGGAGGAAAAGTACAGGTTTTTCTCTGCAATGGGGGGACCAAAGCAGCTTACATCATTCTCCTCTCCCCCTTTTGACTTGCACAACAACCCTGTTTTAGTGACAGAACCAAGCTTGGTTGCCTAGCAACAGGCACTGAGGGGAAAGTATGGTTGCCAGCTCTAAGTAGGGAAATACCTGGAGATATGGGGGGTGGATTCTGTGGAAGGACCTAGCAGGGTATAATGCCATAGGGTCTACCCTCCAAAGCAGCCATTTTCTCCAGGGGAACTGATCTCTGTCATCTGGAGATCTCCAGGTCCAGCTTGGAGATTGGCAACCCTAGGGGGGAAGTCAGCCACCTAGCAGGGGGTTAAGAGAATGGTTTAACAGCTGCTGGCCCAACCAGCCATGGCGGAGACAAGCAGGAGAGAGCCGTTTTCACAGTTTATTCTGACAGGAAAGTGGCCAAGCTGGCAGGAGCCTAAAGATCGCTGGGTATCACAACAGCTCCAGACAATAGATCTCCCCCCCCCCCGAGAAAATAACTGCTTTGGAGGGTGGGCTCTATGGCATTCTGTTCAGCTGAAGCCTCTTCCCTCCCCAAACCCTGGCTTCCTTAGACACAGAATCTCCAGGAATTTCCCAACGTGGAGCTGGCAACCTTAGAACAGGCCCCAATGAGTTCCTCACAAAGGCCTGGAAAGGGTTTCCTTCTACCAGCAGTCACTGAGGGAAAAGTTAGTCCCACAGAGGAGCCAAGCAGGAGAAGTGTCTTCGTCAGGAGAGACAGCTGTTTGCCAGTAATTCTGACAGGGAACAGTGGCTGAGGTGGGAGTGGGCAGAGAAGAGGAGCAGACCCAGCACCCGGCCAATGGCATGCAAGTACTCTTGAGTGGCGACTGATGGGCCAATGACTGATGGAGCGCATTGCACAGCCAATGGGAGAGCTAGAAAGTGCCACCCCACTACTCAATTATATATAAGGAGAGATGCTCAGCTGTAATCCCGCTTCAGCACTTTTTATATTAACCTTCATCACTAGTTGTTTCAGATGTTCACTGTTTTTCTGCCAGTAACATGGTATCATCTTCATATCTCAAAGTGTACTCATGAATAACTTGGCAAGATTCCTGTGTTTCACACTGGAAGGAGGGTAATAATTTGGTGTTGCTTAGCAAGTAAGTTCCAGAAACTACAGTAAGTTTAAAGTCCCACTTCAAAACGTTTGAGAGCCGCTGATCTAGCACATACTGAATCAAGTGCTGCCAGGATTGCTAACTCCGGGTTGGAAATTTCCAGGAGGTTTGGGGGTGAAGCTTGGGAAGGGATGTAACACCATGAGAGTCCACTCTCCAAAGCAGCCATTTTCTCCAGGGGCTCCTCCAGGGGGCACCTGGAGGTCAGCAGCCCTGGGATAAAGAAGAAGCCAAAACAGAGAGATCACGGGAGGAAGTGGAAATCCAAAAACAGTATCCATGACAAAAATAACGAAGAGTCAATAAAGATATATTAGCAAAATCGTTTACTGTAGTAATTCTGTAGAAATTTCTCCTCTGTTATCGCTCACACACTTTTTCTTTAACGAATGCTGCGCAATGTAAACAATTTATTTCACAATAATTGCTTTATCTGAGCGTGTAGCAATCACGATTCCTATCAATTTCTACTTATCAAGTCTTGAAGGAAACATTCAGTGTTGACTCTCTAATAACAGAACTCAAGGTCTTCACAAAGGCTCTTCGTTATTTTTGTCATGGGTGTTGTTTTTGGATTTCCACTTCCTCCTTCTCCTCCTCCTCCAGCCCTGGGATAAAGGCAGATCCCAAGATCTGGTGGAAAGGCCAACTAGAAAAGAGCCTAACCCTGCATGGTGAACATTTGCCCTATCATTCCATTGCTTTAGACCATCACTTCCCTAAAAAGAGAAATGGAGTCGTCAATATGTGGTGGCAAGACTGGAGTTGGGAGAAGGCATATGTGTGAGTCAGAAAATCCCTCCAGTTCCTCTCTATCCCTCTGCAGTGCCGAAAGCCATGCCTGGGAAGCTGTCCATGGGAGCTGTCCAAGAAAGCAGGAGGCCCCTTGAGAGGCCTTTGAGAACCGAAGAGGCCTCCACTCGCGTGATCACCACAGTCTTCGTCGCGCTCCTCATCGATCTCTTGGGCTTCACGCTCATCTTGCCACTCCTGCCTTCCATCCTTGATCATTACAGCAAGAATGACGTGAGTAAAAGCCGTGCGACAGGGCTCAAAAGCACCCCCCGCCCTCACATGGGCCCCTTGAAAGCTTCATTTGTGCTCTAGCTCTTCTTGCACTCCTTGGTCTGTGGGCGATCGGCAGTTGCACCCGCCTCCCTGAAAACGTCTTGCCAAGTTGCCACATCCCATATGGGAGGCACCATGAGAAATTTCAGTGGTGGCAGCGGTTAGGACGCCAACTCTCAGCTGTTCTCTGGGCCGAGAGGTCATGTTTATTTTGGGTATGTTCTCTCACACCCCCGCAAAATGCTCCTCTCGCATCCCAGAGGCTTACAGTTTCCCAAGGTACAATGGGGGAAGCTTTCCCATGGAGTGGGTGTCTCAGGATGCTCCTTCTGGGCCCCGGGGCTAGATGAGAGGTGGTCTTCTGACCCTCCCCCCAGCAGTTGCAGCTATAGCGGAGCCAGGTGACACCGCTTGGCAGAGCTGAGAGGACCTCGCATTGCTACAGTCAAGAGCCGTTGGAGACTACGGGACTGTTCCCTGTTACATTCCAGTGCTGCAGCCACATTGCGCAGGAGGAATTCTCCATTTGCAGAGAACGTAACAGTTGCTGACGTTCATTTTGTCTGGACTGAGCATATCTGCGCTGTGATGGCTGGCTCTTCGCCCATGAAGACGGCAGAGGAGCGCATCCTTGCCTTCCTGCTCCCGTCGGCTGCCCTCTGCACTGGAACGGTGGTGGGAAGGGTCACAGCCGACTTATGGCGACCCCTGGTGGGGTTTTCCAGGCAAGAGACATTCAGCCGTGGCTTGCCATTGCCTGCCCCCATGTTACAACCCTGGTATTCCTTGGAGGTCTCCCATCCAAATAGTAGTCAGGGCCAACCCTGCTTAGCTTCTGCGATCTGATGAGATTGGGCTTGTCCGGGCTATCCACGTCAGTGGTGCACTGATTCCAACCTCCCTCCCTTGGGAGATGTCTTTTGTGTCCCCAGCCCTGTGGTGCGGAGGGCAGTCCCTCATTTGGAAGCCAGAGGTCGGGAGAGAGGAAGGCAGGCATGGGTGACTCCGTCCCCTCCGCAGCCCTGCCCCACCGTAATCGCCCTTGATGTGCCATGGGCAGAGGTGTTGGGGGCTGTGAAGGAGAGAGGCCCCATGGACCTTCTTTTGCCTTGAGCTCAGAACTTTTTGCTCTGTAGGGACAGCGACACCCCGTCTTCCTCTCTTTTGAAGGAGGAGGAGGGACGTGCCCCAGGGGCCCTCCCCACACCACTGTGCACCGAATGTCCTACGCGAGAGAGCCATGCAGTCAGACTCTCTTTAACCGGGGCCAGCATTCTGTGGTGAAGGAGTTTAGGCGGCAGCAGGGGGGTCCCCAACCTTGTCCTGCCTCTGGGGGCGTTTTGGAATTTTGAGAACAGATCGTGGGCAGGAAGGCTCGATGGCCCTTGTCGCCACAAAATGTTGGGTGATGTGAAGCCAGGTGTTCTCCTTATGATGGAGGCAGCTGTTTCTGGGTGGGGGCTCCCACTGGCAGATGTTGCCTCTCTGGGCTTTTCTGAAGCCCCCTCTGGTCCAGTGAAGTACAGGGAAGCCAGGGCTGGCTTTTTCTCTTGGGGGGAAAGATATTTTGGGGAAGGAAGAAGGGAACCATCAGGAAACACACCGGTGAGGATTTAGAGGGGCTACTGCTTATCCTTCTTTCCCTTGAGGACCCCGGCTGCCCCCCTTGTGCCTCCAGAAGGTGCCCATGGACGCCTCCTCTCTCTGCCACCATGCTTTTCTTCCACAGGGTGGCTTGTACATGACCTTGCAGCATGGGGTGGACAGGTTTGCTGCAGTGGTTGGAGTGCCTCCGGAAAGGAAGTACAACAGTGTCTTATTTGGCGGTAGGAATTACATTTCACTATTGGACTGGGGTTTTGTTGTTGTTGTTGTTGTTTTTCATTCGCACAGTCGAGTCCGACTCTTCGCGGCCCCATGGACCACATCACACCAGGCCCTCCTGTCCTCTGCCATCCTATGGAGTTTGCTCAATTTCATGTTTGTTGCATCAGTAACGCTGTCTAACCATCTCATCCTTTGCCGTCCCCTTCTTCTGTTCCCTTCAGTCTTTCCCAGCATCAGGGCCCCCTTCTCCAGTGAGTGCTCCTTTCTCATTTGGTGGCCAAAGTATTGGAACTTCAGCTTCAGTATCTGGCCTTCCAGGGAACAGTCAGGGTTGATTTCTTTTAGGATTGACTGATTTGATCTCCTTGAAGTCCAAGGGACTCTCAAGAGTCTTCTCCAGCACCATAGTTCAAAAGAATCTATTCTTTGCCACTCAGCCTTCCTTATGGTCCAACTCTCACAGCCATATATAACTACTGGGAATGCCATCCCTTTGACCATATGGACTTTTGTTAGCAGGGTGATGTCTCTACTTTTTATTATGCTGTCTAGGTTTGCCGCTTTCCTCCCAAGGAGCTGGCATCTTTTAATTTCATGGCTGCTGTCACAGTCTGCAGTGATCTGGGATCCCAGGAACGTGAAGTCTGTCACTACTTCCACGACTTCCCCTTCTATTTGCCAAGGAGTGATGGGGCCGGATGCCATGATCTTAGTTTTTTTGATGTTGAGATTCAAGCCCACTTTTGCGCTCTCCTCTTTTACTCTGAGCAAGAGGCTCTTTAGATCCTCTTCACTTTCAGCCATTAGAGTGGTATCATCTGCATATCTGAGGTTGTTGATCTTTTCCCCAGCAATCTTAATTCCCGCTTGTGATTCATCCAGGCCAGCATTTCGCATGATGTACTCTGCATATATATTAAATAAGCAAGGCGACAATATACATCCTTGTCGTACTCCTTTTCCTATGCTAAACCAATCAGTTGTTCCATATCCAGTTCTAACTGTTGCTTCTTGGCCCTTATACAGGTTTCTCAAGAGACATGTGAGGTGGTCTGGTACTCCCATCTCTTTAAGGACCTGCCATAGTTTGTTGTGATCCACACAGTCAAAAGCTTTAGCATAGTCAATGAAGCAGAAGTAGATATTTTTCTGGTACTCTCTTGCTTTCTCCATAATCCAGCGAATGTTGGCAATTTGATCTCTAGTTCCTCTACCTCTTCGAAACCCAGCTTGTACTTCTGGCAGTTCTCTATCCACGTACTGTTGAAGCCTAGCTTGTAGGATCTTGAGCATGACCTTGCTAGCATGTGATATGAGTGCAATTGTGCGATAGTTTGAACATTCCTTGGCGTTGCCCTTCTTTGGGATTGGAATGTATACTGATCTTTTCCAATCCTGTGGCCACTGTTGCGTTTTCCAAATTTGCTGGCAAATGGAGTGCAGCACTTTAACAGCATCATCTTCTAAGACTTTGAATAGCTCAGCTGGAATACCATCACCTCCACTAGCTTTGTTGTTAGCAATGCTTTCTAAGGCCCATTTAACTTCACATTCCAGGATGTCTGGCTCAAGGTCAGTGATTATACCGTCGTGTTTGTCAAGGACATTGAGGTCTTTCTTGTATAGTTCTTCTGTGTATTCTTGCCATCTTTTCCTAATCTCTTCTGCTTCTGTTAGGTCCCTACCGTTTTTGTCCTTTATCATGGCCAGCTTTGCATGGAACGCTCCCTTGATTTCTCCAATTTTCTTGAAGAGATCTCTAGTCCTTCCCATTCTATTGTTTTCTTCTATTACTTTGCACTGTTCATTCAGGAAGGCCTCCTTATCTCTCCTTGCTGTTCTCTGGAAATCTGCGTTCAGTTGGGTAAATCTTTCCTTTTCGCCTTTGCCTTTCGCTTTCCTTCTTTCCTCTGCTATTTGTAAAGCCTCATCAGAAAGCCACTTTGCTTTCTTACATTTCTTTTTCTTTGGGATGGTGGTGATTGCTGCCTCCTGTACGATGTCACGAACCTCTGTCCATAGTTCTTCAGGCACTCTATCTATCAAATCCAGACCCTTGAATCTATTCTTCACCTCTACTGTATATTCATCAGGGATGTGATCTAGGTCAAACCTGAATGGCCTCATGGTTTTCCCGATTTTCTTCAGTTTAAGTCTGAATTTTGCAATGAGTAGCTCATGATCTGAACCACAGTCAGCTCCAGGTCTTGTTTTTACTGACTGGATAGAGCTTCTCCATCTTTGACTGCAAATTATATAGTCAATCTGATTTCGGTGTTGCCCATCTGGTGATGTCCATGTGTAGAGTCGCCTCTTAGGTTGTTGGAAAAGGGTGTTCGCTATGACCAGTGTGTTCTCTTGACAAAACTCTGTTAACCTTTGCCCTGCTTCATTTTGCTTTCCAAGGCCAAACTTGTCTGTTATTCCAGTTACCTTTTGACTTCCTACTTTAGCATTCCAGTCCCCTATGATGATGAGGACATCATTTTTTGGTGTTAGTTCTAGGAGGTGTTGTAGGTCTTCATAGAACCGGTCCACTTCAGCCTCTTCTGCATCAGTGGTTGGGGCATAGACTTGGATTACTGTGATGTTGAATGGTTTGCCTTGGAATCGGACAGAAATCATTCTGTCATTTTTGAGATTGTATCCCAGTACTGCCTTTTGCACTCTCTTGTTGACTATAAAGGCCACACCATTTTTTCTACGAGATTCCTGGCCACAGTAGTAGATATAATGGTCTTCTGAGTTAAATTCGCCCATTCCTGTCCACTTTAGTTCACTGATTCCTAGGATATCGATGTTCAGTCTTGCCATCTCATTTTTGACCACGTCAAGCTTACCTTGATTCATAGATCTTACATTCCAGGTTCCTATGTAGTATTGTTCTTTGCAGCATTGGACTTTCCTTTCACCATCAGACACATCCACAACTGAGCGTCCTTTCGGCTTTGGCCCAGCCGCTTCACTCTTTCTGGGGTTACTTGTACTTGTCCTCTGCTCTTCCTCAGTAGCATATTGGACACCTTCCGACCTGAGGGGCTCATCTTCCGGCGTCATATCTTTTAGCCTTTTGATACTGTCCATGGGGTTTTCTTGGCAAAAATACTGGAGTGGGTTGCCATTTCCTTCTCCAGGTGGATCACGCTTGGTCTGAGTTCTCTGCTGTGGCCTGTCCGTCTTGGGTGGCCCTTCACGGCATAGCCCACAGCTTCATTGAACTGCACAAGCCCCCTCGCCACGACAAGGCAGTGATCCATGAGGGGGAAAATTGGCCATAATGAGTACCAAATAACCAAAAGGTTAGATTTATGTTTTAGTCAGAGTCTTGATGTAGAAATCTGAAAACTTACACTACACAGGAACAGGTATATCCTTAAGCCAAATAGATATTTACCAGCTAGCAAATATGAGTTGTAATTGTCTGCATATGCACCCACGTTTTGCAACTGGGGAATGTTACTGTTTTAGTTATGAATATTGCTGAAGTCTGAGTTCTATCTTCCAGCTACTTACAACTTATTTACCTAGTATTGTTCAATGCTCCACAGCAAATCAAAGCAACAGGTGGAGAACTGTCTGTTTCTATTCTTCTAGTCTTTGAACCTTTGTGGTATGGATTATGTTAGATATTTATAAAATGTCACAGCATTCTGTAGGAGGCATTGCCCCCCCCCCCCACCCTTCAGGCTTTGCCCCCCATAATGCAGGAGAAGCGGCTTGAACGAGACAGTCTTGTACAATCAAAACAGCATGCTTTGTGGAAAATAAAAACATGATTAGATGACCGCTGTGTGTCTATTTTGCTTCTTTAAGAGCTACCAACATTTCACTGTGGGGAAGAGTAGTGGATGTGACGTGGTTTAGGTCAAATATAGTTCACATTCCACTGTTAGGTCAGTGTTGCTTTTTTAATATGTCTGTATCCTGTTTGTGGTTTTGTTTTCTTTTTTAAAAAATGTATTATGTTGGTCCAATTCCCCTTCTCCATTCCTCCCTCCAAGCATACTGTTACACTTCTTGTTCTTTCTCATAAAAAGTTCATTTCTCTGCTCTTCCTCAGTAGCATTTCGGACACCTTCCGACCTGAGGGGCTCGTCTTCTGACATCATATCTTTTAGCCTTTTGCTACTGTCCATGGGGTTTTCTTGGCAAAGATACTGGAGTGGGTTGCCATTTCCTTCTCCAGTGGATCACACTTGGTCTGAGTTCTCTGCTGTGGCCTGTCCGTCCTGGGTGGCCGTCAGGGTCAACAGCAAGCAGGACCTCCATGGCATAGCCCCCAGCCTCATCGAACCACACAAGCCCCCTCGCCATGTCAAGACAGTGATCCATGAGAGATTATGTATTCACACATAATAAAAGGTAAAGACAGTGGCAGTTCCTATAATCATACACATTTTTGCATATACACCTTAAGTGTTTTTGCAGCACCTTAGAGGCTCATGTCTGCCGAATGTCGTATAGCGGTGTGTAGAGTTGGTAAGTGTCAAGGGCTAGCCATGTTGCACGAGTTCTAATTATCAATCTTTTCCAGGTCTGATTGGCTCCATGTTCTCCATCCTTCAGTTCTTTGCCTCTCCCCTCACTGGGGCTGCGTCTGACTACTTTGGGAGGAGGCCAGTCATGCTGCTGACTGTGGTATGTCTGTTCTGGGAACGGCCCCACCCAGGGAATAACTGGCAGCACTAGGGAGAACCTGGTGGCAGTCTCCTTCGCTTTTCCCTGGTTTCTTTCTGAGTTTGTGGCTGGTATTTAAATGTCAGCTTTTCTGTCATTCTCTTCTGAAACCATAACATTTGCAGGAAGCTGGGAGGTAATGGGAAGGAAGAGAATAGATGGGTGACCCTATATGGGTGACCCTACTCAGATGAAGGCCTCTCTCTCCACAGACGGGCCTGATCGCCTCCTATTCCTTGTGGGCTGTTTCCAAGAGTTTTGAGCTCTTCCTCTTCTCCAGAGTCATTGGCGGAATAAGCAAAGGGAACGTCAGCCTCTCCACCGCCATCATTGCTGACCTGGCTTGTCCAAGAGCGCGGAGCAAGGGCATGGTGAGTGCGTGCGCTTCCTCTGCTGTTTAGTCTTTGATCAACCACATCTATGGGGTCTCCCCACCAGAAAAAAAGTATACTCTGAATTGGCACTGGAAACTAACTGGGAGCTGTGGGCAGTGTTCCCTCTAAACTCAGTTGGTGTGAGCTAGCTTTTAGCCTCTGGCTCACAGATTTTTGTCTTAGCTCAGGAAGGATGGGGCTCCAGATCAAACTCATTTATGCAGCGGCCAAATCGCTCACTCACAACTTTAATGCCAGTAGCTCACAAAGTAGAATTTTTGCTCACAGGACTCCGCAGCTTAGAGGGAACATTGGTCATAAGAGGTAACTAGTCAATAGTGTCAACATTATTACTACATTTCTAGCCTGCCCTCCCCTGGGAAAAGGGCTCGGGGGCGCCGTATCTCGAAACTGAGACAAAATCATACATTAAATACACAATTAAATGCAATAAAGACACATCAGATAAAACCACTAGACTAGCTAGAGGGTGCCAGAACTGCAGCTCGTGCCGCTGCCCGGCGGGGGGTGCCGGAGCAGATGGAGCCTGGATGCCCGGCGGGACACCGCGGCCCGGACAGGCCCTGCGGAAGGGCACCCGGTGCCCTTCCGCAGGGCCTGCCCGGGCCGCGATGTCCCGCCGGGCATCCAGGCTCCTGTCGAGTCTGGCGGGACACGGTCACCATCCCCTATAGGGGGTGGTGTGGGATAGGTCTTATAGGCGCTTACTGGGACGTTCCTGCCAGCAATCTGGCGGCTGCATTCTGGACCACTTGCAGTTCCTGAAGCATCTCCAAAGGGTAGTCCCGCGTAGAGCATGTTACAGTAGTCCAGTCTCGAGGTGACTGTTGCGTGAATTACCATGGTGAGGTCCACCCAAGACAAATAGGGAGCCGGTTGGTGGGCCTGGTGTCGATGGTGAAATGCATTCTTTGCCACCGAGGACATGGAGAGCAAAGAACTGAGCCACACCCCCAGACTTCTGAGATTCAGCTGTAGAAAGTCGGACCCCATCAAGGGTCGATAGAAGTGGCCGTCCAAGTGGTCCGGGCTTTCCCAACCACGTGATCTCTGTCTTGGATGGATTTAGCTTTAACCAACTCTCACCTAGCCATTCCATCACTGCATCCAGGCAGGAGGCCAAGACCGGAATTCCAGCCACCAGTCACTCTTGAAATAAGAGGTAGAGCTGAGTGCCTTCTGCATATTGATGGCACTCCACTCCAAACCTCCTGACAGTCTCCTCCAGAGGGCGCATATAGATGGTAAATAACATTGGGGAGAGAATCAACCCCTGTGGAACTCCACAAGTTAGGGCCTGTGATGACGACTTCCCTCTGCCCACGGTTACCCTCTGGGACCGACTCTGGGGGAACGAGAAGACCCAGCTCATGGCCGTACCCCTCACCCCCAGGGAGGCTAAGCAGTTGACCAGGACCGAGTGTTCTACTGTCTCCAAGGCAGCTGACAGATCCAGCAGGATCAGAAGCACCATCCTGATTGCATCAAGGTGTAATTGGAGAGTGTCAGCCAGAGCGACCAGCGCCATCTCAGTCCTGAACCCTGGCCAGAAGTTGGATTGGAAGGGATCTAGGGCAGATGTTTCATCCAGGACTTCCTGGAGCTGTTCAGCCACAGCTTGCTCAATCGCTTTCCCCAGAAATGCAGGACTAGATACCGGGAGGTAATTGGCTAGGTCCTGCTCATCTAACAGTGACTTTTCCAGGAGGGGTGTCACCACTGCCTCCTTGAGGGAGCTGGGGAAAGAGCCCCGGGAGAATGAGAGATTGACAGTGTCTCCCAAGACTCCTGCTACCACTTCCCTGGAGGCGTCCACCAACCAGGAAGGGCAGAGATCCAAGGAGCAGGTAGGAAGCCGCGCAGCCGATAGGATCTTGTCAGCATCTGTCTGGGAGAGTGGGTGGAAGGACTCCCAAAATGGGCCTGGTTGTGCACACAGGGCCCCAGGATTCCTACTGACTCCAAATCTGGCAGCCAAGCCTTGGTGGAGGACCAAGGCTTCATCTGAAGAGAGCATCACAAATATGTCATGGCTAATAGCCAAGTCTGTGTCTACTTTTGGAGCCACCAAAGGGGTGGTCAGTTGCCTAATAACGCTAAATCACTGAGCGGGCGCGATGCGGTGGCTGCAACAGAGGCAGGGGAGCCAGAGCACTTTGCTGCCTTCATAGGACCACGAGCGGCCTCTATCAAGTGTTCTCTGTGCTTTATCATGAGTTCGTTGCTCGCCCCGCTCTAGCCATCTAAGCCCCTTTTTACCATCCTTAGTCCATCCGTATACCAGGCAGCCAAGGTAGTGTGGGGTTGAAGAGGGCACTTGGGGGGCAACTTGGACGATGGCCTCCTGAAGGCCCAGATTCCAGGCATCAAGAGAGCTGCCGGCAGAGAGTCTCTGCAGGTGGGCATAAATGAGCTTGCTGCCCCTGCAAAGGGGGAGGCAAATCTCGGACTGACCTTCACAGGTAATGACCAGTCCACGGCACCGGTTCACAAAGCACCACTGAATCCAGATCGGTTCCCGCACAAAAGGTCAGATCCAGTGTGTGGCCCATACAACCTGGGAGGAGCCTAATGATGCCGTGGCAGACCAGGCAGCGTCGGTGTGGACAGTGAAGCCCCCCAAAACGATTGGTCTGGGGGAACGCAAGGCCCACTCCCCTACTGCCTCAGCCAACCTCAGGAGGGAGCCAGCTGGCAAGCGAGGCGGACGGGAAACCAGCAAGACTCCCACCCTCTCCCTGGCAGGGAGCCCATGCCAGGTGTGCCCATTCAGTACAGGAAGCTTCTCGTAGGAGAAGGAATTTCGGGTGGGAATTTCTGCCCCAGCCCCACCGTCCTGTCCGCGGCTGATGAAGGACTGAGTATCCTGGCGGAGTCAGCGGAGTGAGAGCCACCACTTCACCCTCGTCCGTCCAGATTGTCACGGCAGGACCAGGGGGCGTGACACAAGCAAGCAAAAGTCCAGGAACAGTCCGAGGTCAAGCCGGGCAAATCAGGTAGCAAGGTTCAAGCAGGTTTAAATCACAGTCCAAAAGCAGGGTCAGACATACCAAAGTTTCAAGTCCATAAATCACAACAATACCAGAGGAGTCAGAGATGAACGCAGGGTCAACAAAGCCAAAGGTCAAAAGCCGAGGATCAAGCCGAGAAGAATTCCACAAGGTCTGGAGCAGAGATGCAAGGATTCAGGTCCTGAACAAACGACGTTGCCAGCACAAATGACTGCTGGCAACAGACTTGCATATATACAGTGCTAGCTAATCAACTCATTAACTAGCCAGGAGTGAGGACAGGATCCTGTCAGTAATCAGGTCTAAGAGATCTTCTGGCACGCATGCGTGCATTCTGCCTTCGCTCTCTCAGCTGTTGTCTTCTTACATTCCTGAGCCTGGTTACAGGTGGAGGCGAGTCTGACGATGAATTACTGGGCTGCAGCAGAGACTGATCCCTTGCAGGTGTTCCCTGGGAGGCTCTATCCTCCTCACCACTTAGATAGCTTTCAGCTACAGGATCCAGTCTTTGCCTTTCTGCTGCAGTACTGTCCTCAGGAGCCTGTTCAGGGTCCTCAGGAGCCTGTTCAGGGGCATCAGCAAAGGCAGGCATGACATCAGCAGGGGCAGGCATGACACAGATCTCGGTCAAGCCACCCAAGGGTCCCAGTTGCCTTTCCAAGGGAGGCGGCCTTATTCATCACCAACCTGCCATTGTGCAACCTCAGGCTTGAAGAGATGGCCAGGAAATGGACTGAGGATAAAGCTGCCCCCGTGCAAGTCCCCAGTGTGGCCTGCTGTGTACAGTCCAGGTCACTGCCTCTCAGAAGGGTGACTGAAGACGCAGGCAAAGGGAAGAAAAAGGAACCACAATGATCACAGCACGGGAATGCTTAAAGCACCGGGGGCTTTTTATTTTGTAGCAAAGGCAACTGAGGGTGGCGGCAGCATAATAGAGATCTACATGATTATGCACCCCATAAAAGAAGTGGGTGGATGGAAACATTTCTGCCTCCAGCATAATACCAGGACTTGGGATCACCCCATGAAACGGGAGGACAGTAGATTGAGGAGAGAGCAAAATGAGACATTTTTAATACAAGAAGTAGTTGACTTGTGGAACTCACAGCTGTTGGCTTAGGGAGCTTGAACAGATATAGAGAGGATAAGTCTATCTTCAGCTATTAGTCAATAAGTAGGCAATCCCTATATATTATCCAAATCTCCTAGTGGTGCAGTAGAGGTCCTCAATCGTTGCTTGGCTTCGATGGTTAACTCGCTAAGAGTGAACAGATTGGAACTAAGTTCTGTTAAAGACAGAAGGGACGCTGGCCGGGCAGGAGGAGGCCTTGAAGGACATGGTGCTCCCCAATTCAGTCATTTGAGGGCCTCGGGCATCTACGGGACCCAACATTATTGCTGGAGAAGCAAGTTAATGCCGTTGTAAAAAAGGCTTTTCCCCAGCTCAGCCTAACTCGTAAGATGGGCCCTTATCTTGATATGGCTGATCCGTCCACTCGGACCTGTGCCATGGTGACATCAAGACTGGACTGCTATGATGCCCTGTACGTGGGTCTCCCCTCAAAATCAGTTTGGAAACTCCAGCTGATGCAGAATGTTGTCGGGGGCTTGGTCGCGCAGGCAGTTTACTCCCATTCTGAAGTCACTCCATTCTGAAGTCATTACTGGGCTCAGTTTAACGCATTGGCTCTCACATACAAAGCCCTTGATAGCCTTGGACCCCCCCCCCCATCTGCGAGACTCTGTCTTCCCCTGTGCTCCACCACGCCAGCTTTGCTCATCGGCAAATGAGCAAAATCAACCACTGCCCCTACACAGGCCTTCCCTAGGGTGGCCCCCACCTTGTGGAACGGCCTGCCCGAGGAGATCAGGAAGGGTCCTCCTCTCCTGGCTTTCCACAAACTAGGCAAAGCTGACTATTCGAGAGGGCTTTTCTGTGCTGGCCATAGAGTTGCACCCTATTAAACTATCCAGACCGTTCCTGGGATAAATGATCAGGGGCTCTGTGGGGTCTCTGATGCCATGTATAGTTTGCTGAAACTAGGATCCTGCTGTGTGATTTTGTGTCATTTAATGTGTCATGTGAACAATTTCCTTTGCTTCAGTTCTGTTTTCTAAATTTCTGGTTGGTTCTTCAATCCAAATCCTACTTCCTTGTTCACTGAGTGTCCCAGCCTGTGGATTAGATTAGACTCACTCCGCGTCATCCACCCTGAGTCTCCGTGAGGAAGGCGGACTATGAACAGCAGAAATAAAAAGCTACTGCGGCAAGGGAGAGCGGAGACCTCCTGGTGGGCTGCCCTCTGACTGGCCACCATCGGAGTAGGGAGGCCGCTGGACTAGGTGGCCTAATCCACAGTGTGCGCCCGTTCCTCATTACCCTTTTACAGTGCTGAATTTCAGCTCACAGCAGCATATGTTTCACACCAGCTATTCACTTTTACTGATAAAAATGAATGTGCCGTCCTGCCTAACGTTGCATCAAACTCTCGATGTTCCGACAGGCGATGATTGGCGTGGCCTTCTCCTTGGGCTTCACGCTGGGCCCCCTGCTCGGAGCCTTCCTCGCCATGGAGACGGAGAAGGGAGAAGTCGTCTATCTTTGGTCGGCTCTCTTGGCTGTCACGTTTGCCGTTACTGACCTGGCCTTCCTTTTCTTCATGTTACCAGAGACACTCCCCAAAGAAAAACGGGTAAGGCGTTTTGGAGACAGATTGTGGCCATGCTGATTTTACGGGACCAGGAATGGGGAGACTGCACTTTAAATGGTCAAAAAGAGGCCTCTGTGTGTGTGTGTGTGTGTGTCTGGCCCCCTCTGAGTCTGCAGCCCTCGGTGGGCATCTTGCAGAGAGGGGGGGCACTCTGTTTGGGAGTTCTCCTGAATGAGCCCCTTGAAATGGCCAAGAGTGCCCAAGTTTGGGCCCCTGCTCTGTTGTTGGCCCAGGATGCGAGGGGGGGAGGCCGAGAGGGCCAAGTGGTGCTGTTCCTGGTGCTCCCCGTTCATTTTTGCGGGGGGGGGGTGCTTATCGGTCCCGGGCTGGGTGAGCAGAAGGCAGCTTGGGCGGCAGATCTTTCTCCACCTTCCCACACAGTCCGCTGCAGCCCCCGTGTGACCCTCGAGAACAGAAAGCCCTTGGGCATGAGGAGCTGCTGTGTGGGGGGGGATTGGGTGTAATTGCTCACACCATGCTCTTGTGCCAGTGAAAAGCTTGGTAGAGCATGTGTGGCAGAGCACCAGGTCCATCTTGCTACAAGACGAGGGGGGGAGGATGCTGCTGCCCAGTTTCCCCCACGTGCCCAGTGTGGTTTCCTATTGACCACAGGGGTCTCGCAACCCCTGGCATTGCCTCTTGAGGGGGCACGCGCAGAAGGCTGCCATGGGAAAGGGAAGAGGCAGAGACAGACCAGTCAGCACAGGCCTGGTCTGCTCATGCAACCGCAGGAGGCAGCCCTGAACGTCTTGCTGTTACCTTTTGTGCAACTGATATCACCGGACTTACTTGCTTGGGATCAGCTATAGGACAACATCATCCCCAGAGAACTGCCTACCATCATTGCATATATTCGGGGACCGTCCTGCTTTCAATTGAGTATCACTGTTGTTGGTGATTAATTGTTATTAATGTTTTTATTGCTTTTATCGGCTTTGCCCCTTGTAAGCCGCCCTGAGCCCCTTTAGCGGGGATGGCGGGGTAAAAAATCCCAATAAATAAATAAATAAATAAATAAAGGGTTCCTTTAAGCAGTGGAAAGCTAGTCACAGTGAGGCTGATAAAACGGAACCCAGGCTTTGGCAAATAAAATGCAAGTCTGTAGTCAGGCAGGCAAAAGGAATATGAGGAGCATATAGCAAAAAACGTAAAAACCAACAATGAAACTTTCTTCAAATACATTAGAAGCAGGAAACCAGCCAGGGAGGCAGTGGGGCCCTTGGATGACCAAGGGGTAAAAGGAGTACTGAAGGATGATAGGGAAATGGCTGAAAAGCCAAATGTGACAGGCACAGAACCGGATGTCAGGACTGACTAACAAGGTCCAGGTGGACTGATTTGTCCTTGCAGTCAGCTGTGTTGGGCCTGCAGAAGGACAGCTCCTTGGGCTGAATCGTGTTAGCCAAGTCCTGAGTTTTCAGGGGGAAACTCTTATTTCGTAGTGCAGGTAGAGGTATTTAAAGTATGCGGGACCTTCCCTTGGAGGCATTTTGCCATGTGTGTTTCTGGGGTCAGGGATTTCCTTGCCGGTGCCTCTCTTCTGTACCATGATCCCTTTGACCAAAAGACGCGTCTTTCTCTTTGTAGGTGCCCTCCGTGACGTCTGGTTTCCAGTCAGTCACCGGCCTCCTCAGTCCCTGGGCTTTGTTCCAGTTCTCTGCAGTAAGCGGTGGCCAAAGTATTTGAGCTTCAGTTTCATTATCTGGCCTTCCAGGGTTTCTGGGGTCATGGATCTCCTTGCTGGTGCCTCTCTTCTGTACCATGATTCCTTTGACCAAAAGACATGTCTTTCTCTTTGTAGGTGCCCTCCGTGACGTCTGGTTTCCAGTCAGTCACCGGCCTCCTCAGTCCCTGGGCTTTGTTCCAGTTCTCTGCAGTAAGCCACGGAATGGACCCCCCTTCAGAAAAGAGCAAGTCCTCCAGCTTTCAGTGCTATGTTATGGAGTAGTTTGAATATTTCCACCCGCTTTTTCTCCTTGGGACCTGCCCTTGCCCAAGCCTTGTAATCAGTGTGAGCCCTTTCCTGGAGACGTTTGCCTTGCCGCATGGCTGCTGCCATTTGTTGGTTGCCACAATAGTGGTTTGGGTTGCCCATTGATATAGAACCCTTAGCCCAAAGGGGCTCTATATCAAGGCTTTGCATGTGCAAAAGATAGGAGGGCTGGGATGGGCAACTTGATGGACCTTCTGTCTTGGCGTATCTACTCAAGGCCAGCAACTATCATGTGAAATGTTCAGGTGGACGTATTCTTACATCTGAAGGGCTGGCCTGATGGGATACTCTCAAATTGGCTTCTGTTTGCAGCATGCCTCCACCCTCCCATGTGCATCGGCTTCCAGCTAAAAGAAATGTGTTTCATCTTCTGTTTTCTCACGCAGACCCACTTTGGCCAGCCATGGGACATTTTCTTTCTAGCTCAGTGTCCGATCCCCACAATTTACAATTAATACACGTTTGTAGCAAAGTAGTATTTTATTGAAGCCATGATGGAACAGGAACACGTTCACTGTTTAGAATAGCTAAGAAGGGTCAAAGCATGGGATAGTAAAGCAAATTCAAACCACCAATAACCAATGGACATGGTTCCTGCTCGCGCGGGTCGATTCTCAGATTCGCGCGCTTAGTCTGAGAAGCAACGGTTTCCTAAAAGATAAACAATTAAGTCTTCTCACAGTCTAGCTCATTATAGATTACGCGAAGCCATCTCCTCTCCGCACCTGTGACCTTGCAGATAAGCATGTTTCAAAGCAGAACTAGCGTTCACAGAAAGGAATGCATAAGGCAAGCAAATGTGCACTTCATTATACCAGTAAGCATGCGCAATAGGGTTTCACTAAGGAGGGGGAGGGAAACCCTAAACATGGATGGTATTAGGCATCACACAGAGTTCTTTGGCAGCTCGCTGACACTCAGAAATTCCAAAGAGGGAGTGCCCCACTCTTTTTCAGAACCGACACATGCACTAGATTCCTGCCCAGCCTGCCCCATGCTCCGTTGGCAGGCGCCCCCTTCACCACTGCGAGGATAAGCGGCTTTCTAGTACACTCCATTGGTTTTCTTAGATATCATTGTGGGAGAAAGAAGACTCCTTTTTGTCCATCAAGGACTCCTTTCTGCACTCCTCTGGCAGCCTGCTTTGCGGGAGGCAAGCCCCACTCTCCAGACTCTCCCTGTTCGTTCGTTGTGCTCGTGGTCCCCTGTCATGTCGTCCAAGGCACTGTTGAAAAAATGTGCACAATGTGGAACAAAGATGACACATAGCGACAAGCATGAACTCTGCCTTCTGGGCTTAGGAGAGGTCCACAGCGTTGGAGCTTGTTTGATTTGCCGGCCCTTTTACCCTGAAGGCTCGGCCAGATGGGGCCTGTAGGCTGAAAGCTGCGCTGCGGGAGAAGGCTTCATCCTCCTCGGTTCCTTCCAAGGTTACTCCGAGCTCAAGCCCTACTATCTCGGGTCCACTTCCCTTGGCTCCGACTACTGAACCCCGTTCTGGTTCCTGTGGGCCCCACTGTCAGGATGGCTCCAATCTCTCCAAAAAGGGCCGCTTCCGTCGCTGGGGAGGCGGAGCCTAGGAGCCCACGTCCCCCTTCCCCAGGACCATCGACCAAGGTCTGGTTGCATCTGGAACCTCCTGAAAAGAAGCATAAGAAACTGAAGCATAAGGAGAAGACCGAGTCTGCACCCAAGTCAGGATGTGTTGGGACTTCTGAGGCTCCAGAGACTGATCAAGACGTCATCCTGGTACCCTGACGCACCCTGTTGCCGCATCTAGCCTCCTTTGCTGGTTCCTTTTCAGATGAAGAAGTGAAGAAGAGAAGAGATTGGATTTATACCCCACCCTTCACTACCCAAGGGAGTCTCAGAGCAGCTTACAAACTCCTTTCCCTTCACCTCTGCCCCAGCAGACACCCTGTGAAGCAGGTGGGGCGGAGAGAGCTCTGACAGAAACTGCTCTTTTTCAAGAACAGCTCTTGTCAGAACTACAGCTTGCCCAAAGTCATCCAGCAGGTACAAGTGGAGGAGTGGGGAATCAAACCCGGTTCTCCCAGATTAGAGTCCACACACTTAACCACTACACCAAACTGGCATCTCTGCGGAACAACTGGTACCCTCAGAACCAGGACCTCCCTTATCTTGGCAGCCTGTGGGCCCCCCTCAGCATTCTTACTATATGCCACCATTCTATTTAAATAGATGGACTGGACAAATTTTAGAGGAGCATGACCCAAATGCACAGGGATTCATGGATGCCCACTCCACACTGGTTCCCTTCCGGTCTCCGTACCATGAGCCTGAATGAAGAGGTCTCTGCGACATCTCATTATAGCTCTGAGAGTCCCTCGGACCGGTCACCTGATGATACCGTGAGTGACCTGACCCCAGTATCTCCTAGCAAAAACCTCTGTCTCTACAGGGAATAAAATGCTAAGAAGGCAAAAGTCCTTGACATTGATGGTTCCACTTAAGGTAACTGTCCTAAGGACAGAATTTTGAGTCGTCTCTACTCCAGCATTCCAGGGATAGTTGCATTTCCAATCCTGGAAGGTCATTCTGACCTCATGGTTCTGATCCGGCAGAAACTAGCCTACATTCAGGCCACACCTTGTAAGACTGAAAATTTATACAGACTAAAGCAGGACTCTTGTGAGTTTCTGTCCGTGCACCCACCACTACGTTCATTAGTTACAGAAGACATGCAGGCACACCAGTGGCCCAGACAGAATTCATTCCCCAGCCAACAAGGAAAGTCACCGACTGGACACTTTGGGAAGAAAGTTTTATGCTTCCTTCACTCTCAGTTTTTGAGTAGCGAATTATCAATTGGTTATGAGAGGCTACCAACTTTTCCTCTGGGAGAGTCTTTCCCAGTACCTAAGACAAGTTGCCTGATGAATCCAAGTCCCTGGCTAAGCGTATCCAGTCCAAGGTGATTAAACTCTTGAAACAGGATATTAACGTGGGCAGACATGCCGCTGATGTCTCAGCCAGACCGGTGGCCTCTGCCGTAGTCCTCCGGAAGCCCTCATGGCTACGCAACACTGTTCTCCCTCCGGAGACGCGCTGTAAAGTTGAGGACCTCCCCTTTGAGGGATCAACTCTTTTTTTCGTGGTCCATGGATGAGTTCCTCTCCACTATAAAGAAGAACCTCCAGACAGCCAGATCGCTGAGCCTGTTTTCCTCAGCTCTGGGCCAGAGGCAACATTTCTATCACAGGCAACACGGCTTTGCTACCCCTTTCTACAGGGGTCAGAGCCAGCACCCACAGCAATCATTTGTGTGTCCTCAATGCCCTTTCCCGTCGTCCCCCTTTTCAAAAAGAAGGGGTACCCCACAGCTGAGGCGTGCTCAATGGAACCCCCAGAGGGATCGGGGCCAACAGCCAGCAAAGTTCTGACTATTCACCCCAGTAGTTGCAGATGTTCCCAGTGTGAAGGATAGGCTAGAACAATTTGCAGAGGCTTGGAGCCTGGTTAGTTCTGATAGCTGGGTTTTGTCGATAGTTCAGGAAGGCTACAGGTTAGAATTGTTGTCCCAATCCCCTTGCCACCTGGCTTTGACTGTGGTGGATAAGCCCTCCCCCTCCCCTCCCCTCCATTGGGATGGGTCCCAAGCAGGCTTCACTCCCGGGGTTTCCATTCAAGAATGTTTCTAGTGAATAAAAAAGACTGTGGGTGCAGGCCCATACAGGATCTCAGAAAACTGTGGCTCACAGTCCTTGATTTAAAGGACTCCTGTTTCCACGTTTCAGTCCACCAATCCCATAGGAAGTATTTACGGTTCAGACGGGGCTCTGAGGTGTTCCAGCATGCATCCCTCCCATTCGGTCTTGCTACTGCACCGAGAGTATTCACCAAGTGTATAGCTGCAGTGGTGGTGCACCTGCACACACAGGGTTGCTGTGTTTTTCAGTACCTAGACAATCGGCTTATCATGATCCCCCCAGACGTGACGTACTGAATGTCCACATTCACTGCACCATTTCCACCTGTAGCAGGTTAGGCCTAATGGTGAATTGGGGGAAATCTCACCTTGAGCCCTCTCAGCAAGTACAATTCATTGGTGTCTCCTTCGATGCTACCACAGGGAGAGCTTTTTTGCCTGCAACCAGGGCTAGAAGCATTAAGGCAGTGGTGTTAAGATGTGCTAGAAAACGTTAGCAGCCAGTGAAGGCAATTCATCGGCTGTTTGGGCTTATGGCCTTGACCGCCGCGGTGATCCTGTTAGCAAGACTGCACATGCGGAGCTTGAAAGTCTGGTTTGTTAAGAAGTACAACCCCAACAAACATCCCTCAAGACGCTGCTTTTCAGTACCTAGGGTGGTGGCCAGGTCTCTGCAGCCGTGGTGGCTGGATGACGCTGACTTGTTCTCAGGGATCCAATTTGGGTTCTGGACCACAGATGTTTCGCTATCAGGTTGGGGCGCCCACTGGGAAGGTTTTTTGGTGCAAGGCCAGTGGCCTTTAATGCAAAACACTCCCCATGTAAATGTCCCAGAACTTCATGTGGTAAGATTTGCCCTTACCTCCTTTTGAGATTATCTCAGAGGCAAGAGGGTGCTGATCCAAACAGACATCACCACAACCATGTATTATTTCAACAAACAAGGAGGCATGGGCTCCCAGAGGCCTTGCTTAGGGGCAGTAGCCACTTGGGAAATAGCTACGGGCGTTGGAGCCCTTCCCAGGGCCATCCACACGGCAGGGACTTCGAATACAGAAGCAGACAACCTGAGCAGGGTCTATCAGACCAAATATGAATGGTCTATCCGGCACAGATACATCAAGGCAGTTTTCGACGCCTCGGGTATCCTCAGGTGGACCTGTTTGCCACAGCCAAGTCCAAGAAAGCACCGGAATTCTGCTCCCTAGCGGGCAGTGATCCAACTTCCCTGGGAGGGAGACACATTCCAAATCCCTTGGTCAGATACACTCTTTTATGCATTCCCTTCCTTTTCTGTCCTAAACAAGGTTAAAGGGAATAGGGTGGCCGAATGGATAGATTGTGTCCTAGTAGCTCCCTTCGGGCCCCGCCAAATCTGGTTCCGAGAGCTGTTCCGCTTAGCATGCCATTCCCTCCCCCCCCCCAGACCGGCAGATGTGCGGTCCCTGTTGCACCACGTCCCTAGCGGGCAGTGATCCAACTTCCCTGGGAGGGAGACACATTCCAAATCCCTTGGTCAGATACACTCTTTTATGCATTCCCTTCCTTTTCTGTCCTAAACAAGGTTAAAGGGAATAGGGTGGCCGAATGGATAGATTGTGTCCTAGTAGCTCCCTTCGGGCCCCGCCAGATCTGGTTCCCAGAGCAGACCTGCTGATGTACGGTCCCTGTTGCACCAGGATGCCGCACGGCTACACTTGGCGGCTTGCTATGAGCACAGACCGGTTCAGCGGTGTCTTCAGTGAAGACCCACCTAGTGGCCATTGCTGCTTCTCATGAGGAGGTGCAGGGAAGTTCTGTTTCTGCTCAAAAGTTGGCTCAGCGGTTTTTAAAGGAGCTGTCTAATGTTTTCCCTCCTGCACCCCATATTGTCCCGCAGCGGTCATTGCCCTTAGTGGTAGCCAGGCTGATGAAGCCACCCTTTGAGCCCATAGACTCTTGCTCCTTGGCTTTCCTCTCCAGGAAGGCAGTGTCCGTAGGGGCTGTTACCTCAGTGAAGAGTCAGTGAACTGGCGGCACTCGGGTTGATCCTCCTTTTCTCAAGATATCCGGTGAACGGGTTGTAGTCTACCCGAGTCTAGACTTCCTGCCTGAGGTAGTTTCCGAGTTCCACCGTGCATTGCCCTTAGTGGTAGCCAGGCTGATGAAACCACCCTTTGAGCCTGTAGACTCTTGCTCCTTGGCTTTCCTCTCAAGGAAGGCAGTGTCCGTAGTGGCTGTTACCTCAGCCGGAAGAGTCAGTGAACTGGCGGCACTCGGGTTGATCCTCCTTTTCTCGAGATATTCGGTGAGCGGGTTGTAGTCTACCCGAGTCTAGACTTCCTGCCTGAGGTAGTTTCCGAGTTCCACCGTGCACGGGAAATGGTCCTACCGGTATCCCCCCACCCCGCTCTGAGCTTGGAAGCGGAAAAGGCCCTACATGCCCTTGACGTCAGGAGGGCCCCCCTTCATTTATATAGACAGAGCAAACTGTTCCATAAAAACAAAGCACTGCTTGTTTGTAATTGGGGCCCCAAGAAGGGCAAAGCTGCTTCTGCCCAGTTTGTGTCCAGATGGGTAGTTGCTGCCACCCGTTCCTGCTACTTGGCATCCAGAGAGCTGCATCCACTCGATGTGAAAGCCCCCTCCTCCACCAGAGCACGGGGGTCATCTGCTGCCTTTCATCGATGAGTTCCCCTGCTGGACATCTGCCAGGCAGCAACCTGGTCGACGGAGGACACATTTGTGAAGCGCTGCCCTTTAGAGCTTCGGGTGAGGAGAGAAGCGGGTGTGGTCGAGGCTGTGTTCCAGTGAGAGACTCCCCCCACCTCTGGGGAGTCACTCTCTGACAGTCCCCATGTGCGGCTGCAGGAGAAGTCGGAAGATGAAAACAGAGCTGCACTTACCTGTAACAGTTGTTCATCGATGTCTTCTGTGCAGACACACATTCCCTCCCTCCTGCCCCACCGTGAGCTCTCACAGGGCCTGTTATGTCATGGAAGGACAGCTTAGCAGGAACTGAGGGAAGGGGGCACCTGCTGATCGAGCACATGACGTGTTGGGCAGGAATCCCATGCGTGCATTGGCTCCAAGAAGGGGCAGGGCACTCCCTCTTTGGAGTTTTTGAACCAGAAAGGAAAACAGTGCAACTCTGCTTTCCCCCGGTGTCCGTGTGATCCTGTGGTTGCCGAAAGTCCTGGCATTCTTCACACCCACTGTAGAGAGATTAACGGCTCATAACCTCCTTGACGAAATTGTGCAGGGAGAGCTTTTAACTCTCAGAGTGTGTGTGTGTGATTTGAACATTCGTAGCCCACTCAAGGTAGCTTACAGTGTATATACGGAACGACAGACACAACTCCCGGATGTCGTTCGAAGCAGGAGGGATCAGCTTCCATGGTTGCATTTCTTTGAAGACTGATTCTCATGTAGCAAATTCTCTGCAAATGAGAGTTGAATGTGGGAACTGTTCTGAAGAAGGAGGAGGAGGAGGAGACTGGATCCATACCCCATGGCCCTTCACTCCCCGAAGGAGTCTCAGAGCGGCTGACAAACTCCTTTCCCTCCCCCTCCCCACCACAGACACCCTCAAGGTTCTCAAGGACGCATAAACACACACACCCCTCCCCTCCCTAGCGCAAACCCTCTCCCCCGCCCCGCCCCACGCGCCAGTCCGAATCATGGCTTAATGTTACCTCAGCAGGAGTGATGATCGGGATCCTCATCTTCACCAGCATTTGCATCCAGGGTTGGATTTGCAAACCCTGGTTAAGAGGAAACACAATTCGTATTAACTATGACTAGTACTGGTGCAGGGTTAATGCTGAACGACTTGGGAAGGCTGACAAGGGAATGGAGGGAAATAGTCAGTCCTAACAGGGGAAGAGTGAGGGGCAGAAATGTATTCCGTTGCCAACGTCCTTTTGTAAATGTTATGATAGGGTCTGAATGTTCCACTGTTTTAACAGATCTCAGGATCTTGGGCCTGGTGTATTTCCTGTACCTCTTCTTGTTCTCCGGTCTGGAGTACACTCTGAGTTTTCTCGTCCATCAGCACTTCCACTTCAGCAGGTAATTTGCATATTTGTTTCATGCACCACTTCCGCACTCGTTTACTTCATCCTTGGCTCCTCTGAGACCTTCGCCTCCTATTACGGGCTCTTCAAGAACGACTCACAAGAACAGGATTAAGTCATTCACTGTTGTTGAGGTTGGGGCTTGAATAGTCAATTGGTGGCCAAAAGGGGCTTTGCGAGAAACCATTTAGCAGTGATGTCCCGGCTTTGCCGAAGGACTGGACTCTCTAGCAGGCTGAAGTTCAGGTGGAACGCTGCCCCTGCAATGCAGAACAGACAGAGGAAGCACCGCCTGCTTGCTAACTCCTCATCTCCGGCCTGGGAGTGAAGGAGGATGGAATAGTTATCTCCTCTTTCCTGGAAAGTGGAGCCGTGTTCCGTTGGGAGGGGTCATGGCTCATGGGGAGCTGCTGTGGCTCAGTAGCAGGGAGCATCCCCTTCATGTCCAGAGCATCTTCGCGTCAATCCCTGGCCTCTCTGGGTTGTTTTTTAAAAGGATCAGGTATTAGGTGATGTGAAAGACCCCTGCCTGAGACCCTGGACCGCTGGTGCCAGCCTGAGGATGGGCGGTCTGATTCCGTATCAGGCAGCTTTCTGTGCTGTGTGGCTCTACTGGTAGCAGGAGCTCCTTTGCATATTAGGCCACACACCCCAGTGTAGCCAATCCTCCAAGAGCTTACAGAGCTCTTCTTACTGGGGCTACTATAAGCTCTTGGAGGATTGGCTACACTAGGGGTGTGTGGCCTAATATGCAAAGGAGCTCCTGCTACCAGTAGAGCCCTGTGGATCATTGGCTTATTTCATCCGCAGCGTTCAAAGGTGGGGACCTACCTTTCCCCGGGTGCCCCTGCTCCACACACAGGGACTCTGCCTTGGGGAGGAATCACGAGGGGACCTCAGTCTCGTCTGCTTTCCTCGAGATTGGGCAAGAGGCATGAGGAGGAGCTTTGTGAGACAGAACCATCCTGTTTGAAAGCCAGTTCTTAAAGAGTACCAGTTGGGAGTTGTAGGTTTCCCAGTTTCCTGACCTGTATCCTCTTTCCTTCTAGGGTTTGGATGGGCGGCCCTGTTGGTCTGAAGCAGCAGAACAAAGTCTGAGTCCACCAGTGGGCACCTTGAAGACGAACAGTTTTTTATTCTGGATATAAGCTCCCGTGTGCACGCATGAATACCCAGAATATACCAGAATAAAACTTTGTTGGTCTTAAAGGTGCCTCCACTGGACTCGAACTTCGTTCTTCTAGAGTTGTCTAGAATGAGCAGACAGCGCCTTCCCTTAAGCTCATGTCACTTAACCTCTGACATGCAGGCCCTAAAATTGTACTCAGTCCCTGTACCAAGACACTGAATTCTGGGAGGAAAATTCATCTCTTAAAAAGAAAAATCTGTATGGCTTTATTGTGCTCAGGGGGACCTCTTTTAGTAGACAGAAGGGCCTGGAAGCCTTGCTAAAACTGCCTCAACGTGTTCCACCCCCACCCCCTTTAAAAAAACAACAACACAACACCAGGTTCTTGCCTTTCCCTTAAAAAAAGAAAAAAGGGAATGCTGGATAATGTTAGTACTCCTTTCCCCATCCTCTGAACTGAAGGCAATAAGAACCTGCTGGATCTGGTTCCCCACAGTGACCAACCAGCTCCTCTGACTGTCACAGAATCCCAGAGTGGGAAGGGGCCGTACAGGCCATGTAGTCCAACCCCCCCCCCCAGCCCCGGCCCCGTGCAGGACCAGCCACTGAGTGTTGCCCATTCACCCCTTTTAGGCACAACCACTCAGAGCTCTTCATAATCCACGCTGGTTTTTGCCATCCTGATTGATTTGATATAATCCACAAACTTGGCCACTGCAACACTCACGTCCAGTTCTGTTACCCAAACTGGACCCAGAAAAGGGGAAATTAGCTTTAAAAGGGTTCCATAAAGGAATAACATTTATTTATTTATTTGATTTATACCCCCCCCCCCCCGCCAAAGCAGGCTCAGGGCAGCTTACAAAAGATAAACATAAGAACAATTATGAGATAAATAGAACCATCTAAAAACAATCCAAGACATAAAGTGCTAGCTGGTGGTAAACTAATACATTAGGGATGGTGGCAACAGTTACTTTGTTCATCAGTTCTGTGCGACTGGCACAGGCTGTAATGGTGGAGTTGGGCTCTTATCTTTCTCTAGTGATGATGCTGTTGTTGGTGGTGGCAGCGGCAGCTCCTTAGCCGAAGGCCTGGTAGAAAAGTTCCAACTTGCAGGCCCTGTATACCTGGGTAGAGCTTGTAGGGGTACCCCAAAATAAAACGATGAAGAAAGAGAGTGAGAGAGTGTAATTGTAAACACAAATAATTTTATTGTATACAAAATAAAAGTGGAATAAAAATGTAAAGAACCTACACTATGCACCTGAGAACTTATTCCGTAAGTAGTCACACTCACTCACACACACACACACCCAACAAGAGGGCACACTTATAAAAGGGGAAAGGGAGGGGGAACTGGGAAATTTTCAGCAAGGGACAGACGACCTTAAATCCAGGGCTTGGGGTGTGGAGAGGTCCAGGGGTAGATGCAGCGGAGGTCCAGGGTATCGAAGAGGAAAAGGGGAGCCTGCCAAGTAGTTACAGGGATATCCTGGTAATTGGAACCCTGGGGACACTTTCCCCTGATTTGGGATGGCCTTTTCTGGGGGGGGGGGGGGCGCACACATCTGAAGAGGAGACTGCC